TCTCGTAGTGCTTTGAGGATCATACGCTGTGACAGGGATCCAACTAGACTCAGTGATGTACGCAGCAAGAGCTTAAACTCATGTATTTGCTGTTTAGCTCTCATGGCAGTTTTATTCCTAATAAAATTCTCCTTTTCTTGCCTTGTTAGCCAAATTAAGTCTATAACTCTGTTTACCTTTGTATTCTTTGCTGCTGATCTTCAAAAAAAAGTTTATATTCTGCAGCCTGTGTCATTCCTCTTTTATGTTTTGGTTTTTGGAGCCACACATAGTGATGCTCAGGACTTAATCATGACTCTATACTCAGAGATCACTTCTGATGGTGTGAGGGGACCCTGAGGGCTGCCAGGATCAAACCCAGGTTTGCAAGCAAAATAAATGCCATACAACTTATTATCTCTCCCATTTCCATAACTCTAAAATATATACTCATTGTATGTTTTATATTTTCACAGTATTTTATTATATGTGTTTTTGAGAAAATGTTATTAGTTTTCATTACATTCCTTTTGTGTATAGTTCTTAAAAATTCTATAAAACAAATCATTTACAATCTTGTTACACAAGAAAATTGTAGTACCTCAGTTTATACACATCTGTTGCCTTTGAAACTCTTTAATACTACTTTATTTTTACTTTTGCAAATGTGCATAATAGCTATATTTACTTTCATTAGTAATTATGAATTTTAAATGAATTAGTAAAGTGTTTTGCAAAGAATTTAGTGAGTGTTCAATAAAATTGTATAATTATTAGTAGTTAGATTAATCAACTTCGGATTCAAAGAGGACTCTGGTTACCAAAAATCATTCTTTCTTGGGCTTTTTTTTTTTTTGCTTGTTTGTCATTTTGGCCACACTCAACAGTTCTCAGGGCTCTGAACTGAGTAATATTTCCTCATGGGTGGGGAGTACCATGTTACCCCCATTGTACTATATAATCTCAGTGGCTCATTTACTTGTAATCTGTATGTAAGTCATAGCAATATGATTGAATTTCAAGTTTCTTCCTTCTGGACACAATTTCAGAATTAATCTTCATAGTCTTGTTTAGGAATCTTGGTTAGAAACATAAAAACTAAGACAGATGTAAAGATAGTGCTTCAGGCGAAGTTTACATTTATTATCATCTTAAAAAGTAGTCTGAGAGCTATAAGGCTTTGCAAAGGATGGAACTGATATTTAAAATGTAGTGCTGTCGGGACTGGAGAGATAGTATATTGGGTAGGGTGTTTGCCTTGCACGCGGCTGACCCGGATTTGATCATCGGCATCCCAAATGGTTCCCCCAGTACCGCCAGGAGTAATTCCTGACTGCAGAGCCAGAAGTAACCCCTGAGCATTGCTGGGATGTGACCCAAAAAGCAATGAAAAATGTACTTCTATTAAAAAGTGTAGAAGAGAATCAACTAAACTGTACCTCATTATGTCTCACTAAAAAAAAAATAAATAAATAAAATTAAATATGAAAATAGAAGATTAAAAACTAAGTACAGAAAAATAAGTTGAAAAGAAAGAGGAATAAGATTAAAAATGAGAATTCAGGATGGAAAAATATTGAGGAAATGTAAAAAATTTACATAAGAGAAAATGTGAAGGAGATTAACAAGAGATAAAACTGAGATAGGATTCTGTCTTGTTTTTCCAAGGAATTAGCATTTTAATATAATGTAGTGAATTATTAATAACTATAAAATGCTCAATATATTTTTGACAAATAATAAATAGTAATTTATAATAGCAGTTATTAGTAATAACTAATAGGATTTGAAAGAAAAATATGGTATAGACATTTAAAAAATGAAAATTAGAAGTTGATGGATTCTAGAGAGAAATTAAGTGGTACTCTCATCAAGCTTTATGGAGCAGTAATGGTATTTGTGTGATTTCCTTAATCACAGTTATCCCATAGTTCTTGGAAATTATACTTTTTATTATCTGGATTCCATTAAAAATTTTTTAAATTGAGATTTACAGTGAGTTCCTATTTTTAGCCCTATCCTTTAAAGTTCCACATTATTATTTTCAAAGTCATTTATAATTTAGCAATTCAGTTTTTCCAAGTACAATATACATTTAATAGTAAGATTGGTGATGAATATGACTTTTAATTTCCTGATTTATATAATGATAAATATTTGACAGGAAAGAGGAAAGATTTCATAGTGTGAGACAATTTCTGACATAGTTGATTGATTGGGATATTAATTTAGAATCTATGTAAACATTTTAAAATTGACTTTAGCTATTTGCCAATATAAATCCACTTCATTTTACTGGGGAGGACAAACTTGATAGTTTTATTTTATATGTAATAGGTAAATGTACTAGGGATACTAGTTGATCAGGGTGTTCTTACTGCAATAAAGAATTTGTTTACCATGGTAATAAGAATCTAGATTTTTTTTAGCAGAAAAAATTTTTACTTAGTGAGTAGTATCCAAAAAATTTTAGAATTTTGTTGATTCTTTTTATTTTATCTTATTTATTTTATTCTTGGGCCATACCCAGAGGCACTTAGGGCTTACTCCTAACTTTGTGTGTAGGGATCACCTTTGGTGAGACTTGGTGGACAATAGGGGATGCTGGGGATCAAACCCAGGTCAGTCAAGTGTTATGCATGTACTCCACCCACTGTACTGTCGCTTTGGCTCTGAATTATGTTGGTTCTAAATCAAACATCAAATTTAAGTTAATTAATGTATGCTAGAATCTTATACATAATTGTAGCAATCATGATATAGGTTGAACTAAAAAATCCTTTTTAATAAATTTTATCAAACAATTAAGGTATGGTAAAAAACATTAAATCATTCTCTGTCTTAAGCATCTTTTATACTCCTCAAAGAAAGTTGCTTTAAGTCTCCATAATTGTCAGTGAAATATAAAAATTGTGGAGACTTAGGTGATAGCACAAATTCACTATGTCATACTGGGCATGCCATTGCAAATCTATGGATCATAGTTTATCTGTTTTGAAATGAGTTAATCAGGCAAAATTTCTCAGAAAAAATTCTCACATGTCTTAGAATATGATTTGCCTTTTTCTTTTGTTAAAGAATGTCCCAAACCAGGCATTATGGGTTGAAAGAAGGAATAAAAGGTAAGAAAAACTGAATCACTTATATTATTTATTCTAAATATTTATTCTAACTTCATGGAATTATTACATTTTTCCTGACAATAAATACACAATTATCGTATTATACACACTTGAATTCTGAAGGATGACTTATTGCTAATAGAAGTATTTCAATAACAAAAATGTGACAGTGTATCTAGTTCTGCTGACATATTTTACATTCATTGTTGTACCTACCTCATTCATAACGAAGAAGCTCAGCAATTTTCAGAGCAAATAAGAATGCAGATTTTTCTCGTATTTGCAACTTTGTCTTGAAATACAACCTTTATAAGGAAAAATATCTATACAATTTGTCTTCTTTAATAAACCACCTGGTTAATTAAGAGTCTTTATGAAAATGTCCAGATGTATCTGAAGAGATCTGGAAGTAGCCATCCTGGACTTTGACTTTTATAGTCTCAACAAGTTTTCTCTTGAGGAAACATACACTATCTTGAGTTAAAGGCTGTAATGACAGCTTCTTGGCCTACTTAGGTGTTTTTACTACCCCTCTGAGTTGAAAGGTGAATTTTTTAAAAAAGAATACTAATAAGTCAATTAAGTAAGATAATATAAAGTTAAAATCTGGATGATCTAATAAGAGATAAATTACAATGTTTTAGATTTGCAAAAAAGGGATAACTTAGAGCACTAGTGGCAGTTTGCAGAAAAATATAGGAAAAATAACTGACTGTCAATAAGAAAGTCTTTTATTTCATCAGTTAGTATTTTTATTGAATTGCTCTAATGATCCTGCAGAAATTAAGACTGAACAGAATTACTACAATAAATATTGTTAAATTCAGTTGCAGAAATACAACCAACTATGCTATTTACCACCAGACTTTACAGGTCTTAACAAAAATTACTGGTCATCTGTTTGTAGTGAATACTCTTGTTTAGGAACAAACACACTGAACAAACTGAGATATTAATGGGGTATCCCTTCTAGGGAGCGGGGGGTAAGACCTTTCAAATACACTTAAGATTGACAAAACTTTTTTAGAATAAGAAATGCTTTGACGTAGAGAGAATTTTGCTATTGAAAAACATGGCACATAGATAGTTTTTGCATGATGCACAGAGTCTCAAAAATGACATTAAACAAAGTACACTGAAAAAGACTAAGACAAGCAAAGTATTTTGACATAGTATTGCCTTCCAACTCATCTAACTTAAACGATGATTATGATTATTTTTTTCCACGTTGATGTTTTTGTCCTTATCTTTGTTATTGTTTTGCAAGGGTCGTATTCAGTGGGGCCAGACAACACCATTGAGGTCCAGGGGCCACTGGGGTCTCACATATTTAATATATTTCTTCTTTCATTTGAGCTAAATTCCCAGTCCTCTTTCTTGATTTTAAAGGCTGTTTTTTATATAAACTCATACTTATCCATTGGATACACATAATTTCCACAAGAAATATTAATTGATTTCCACTAATTATTAGTGTGGAGGTAATACTAATAATATTTAGTAAAGCCCGGCAAGCTACTGAGAGTATTCGATATGCCAGACACAGTAACAACAAAGTCTCCAATGGAGACGTTACTGGGCCCGCTCGAGAAAATCGACGATCAACGGGAGGGCCTTTACCTTTACCTTAATAATATTTATGTACAGATAAATATTTGTGTAGATAGGAAATGTTCACATGAAAATTAAATGAGTAATTTGACACTATGCAGTTTAAATTTAGTTTAGATAGAAATAAATACAAATTACTTTTTTCTATTTATCAAATAACTATCTGAAAATGAAATTATTTGATTCAATATCTCTTTATAGATTTAAAACATCTTACAGTGTTCACAGTAACCTTGAGGACCTAGTTGGTTCATGAGAGATATTTTGTGCTCTTCTCAATGAAATCTGTTATGTCATATCTCTAGAACCTATAACTTGTTGACTCAGCCTTTTCATTGCCATCTTCATATCTCTGTTCCTTAAGGTATAAATGGTAGGATTTAGGACAGGAGTGACAACAAAGTCCACAATAGCAAAAAATTGATCCAATGACTGAGTAGGGAAAGGCCACACATAGAGAAACATGCATGGAGCAAAAAACAAAACCACCACAGCAATGTGAGCTGATAACGTGAAGAAGGCTTTGGATAAATCCTTTGAAGAATGTTGCCTGACAGTGACCAGAATAAAGATGTATGATAGAATTAAGAAAAAAAAAGTGGCCATAGATATGAAACCACTGTTGGCAGTAACCACAAATTGTAAACTGTAAGTGTCTTTGCAAGCAAGTTTAATCACCCGAGGAAAATCACAATAAAAGCTACCCACATCATTAGGGCCACAGAAAGGTAAATTTATGACAAAAACAAACTGAAACATAGCATGAATAAACCCAGTGATCCAAGCAGTCACTATCAAAATTATGCACATTTTTGGATTCATAATAGTTAGATAATGAAGAGGTTTGCAAATTGCCGTGTACCTGTCATATGCCATGGATATCAGTAATACCATTTCAACTCCTCCCATAACATGGATAAAGAACATTTGCGTCATGCAGCTGTGGAAGGAAATAATTTTATAATCATGGAACAGGTCCGATATCATCCGAGGAACTGTGGTAGATGAAAGGCCCAGGTCAATGAGTGATAGGTTGGCCAATAGAATATACATGGGAGAGTGTAAATGAGAATCAAAAATCACTGTAAATACAATGAAAAGGTTTCCCAGGATAATACCTACATAGAACAAAAAGAAGAAAAGAAAAAGAAAAAGCTGCATTTCTAAGGAATGTGCAAGTCCCACTAACACAAATTCAGTTACTGCTGAACCATTTACTTGATCCATTGAATCCTGAAGAAGGGAGAGTAGTGAAATCACCTAAAAAAAAAAAGAAAGGTCAACGTAAAGTCACTACAGTTACATTATAGTTACATTATGAGTTGATTATTTAAAGTTTATAATTAGTGAATATTTAAGTGATGACAAAATATTCACAAAATAACAGAAACACGGGGTTCAAAATTAGTGTAGTATGACCAAAACTGCACTCTGAAACAATCTACTGCTTAGGGAAAAATATAATTTATTTAAATATATGAACTAATCTGGCACTTAAGACATTAGAAAATAATAAAGAATTAGTTTAAGAAATTTAGGTAAGAACATAATAAAAATTAAAAACAAAAATATTGAAACCTAGAAAATTGGAAAAGTGTATATGAGTATGAAAATGTATTTCATAAATGAGTTAAAATATATAATCAAGTATAGAAATGCATGATTACTTTTAAGATACCTGTAATATTTGTTTTTAACATGTCATAAAATAGTCTGATTTAGGGGGTAGATAGCACAGGGGTTAAGGTACATGTATTGCATGTGGCCTACCCCTGTTCTATCCTGCACCATATGGTCCTCCCAGAACTCAAAAAGAGAGTGTGTGCAGCCCTGGAGGCCCCCTGAGTATACTGGGTGGCTTGGTAATCCCTGGAACCACAAGCTCAAACAGTACTATATCCGTGGGCCCTGAAATTGAGCCATTGGCCAACTTGGCTGAAGTTGCCATGAGGACCTGTGGGTCTCCTAAGTGCTGTTTGGAAGAGGCCATCCCACTCCCAAGCAAAACCAAGTCTACCCTATGACAACATATGAATAATATCTATTTTGAAATTACATAGAGTTAGGATGTTAATATCTTAATACTATATAACAGTATATAAATTTTTTAAAAAACAGCCACTAGTAAAACCTCTAGGTCCTTATAGGTAAATGGACAAACAATTTGAAAAGTGGATTCAGAAATGTAAATTACATATGTAGCTTTGTGTGTGTGTGCATTCCCTTTTTCTTTTTCTTTTTTTGCTTTTTGGGTCACATCCAGCAATGCTCAGGGGTTACTTCTGGCTTTGCACTCAGGAATTACTCCTAGCAGTGCTTGGGGGACCATATGGGATGCTGGGGATTGAACCCGGGTCAGCCACGTGCAAGGCAAATGCTCTACCCACTGGACTATCACTCCACCCCCAACATGTGTATTTCTTTTTTTCATGAAATTAAAATAGAGAAGATGTAACGCTATTTTTTAAAAATTACATAAATGTTTTAGTATTATTGCTGTCAAAACCAGCAAATGCTCAGTGATATACATACATTACATTACATTGCTGAAGGAAAAATAGACTGATAAAACATTAAACTTTTGATAACAGGTGATCTCACTGAAGATGGACAGAACAAGAGAATCAGCAGTACTGATCAATGGCAAACTATTGGTGTTTGAACACAAAGTAATTACCAATCACCAAAAAAAGATCAGTGCACAGGTGAAATAGAATCATGGGTTCTTTGGTGGTGGTGCCCTGCAGTAATTTGTTTATTGATATCATAAATTTTAGCCATATTGTAACTACCTAAACTCTAAAAATATCATGACAGTGAGATTTTATCAGTAAGATTTTATAAGGAGCAATACCTTCATCCCCCAAATATAAACTTCCCTTGAAATTTTGTATCAAGAATTTTAAATCCAAATTGTTTGGTAAAATGATTTTCAATATAGAGTTATATTTGAAGACTAAAAATCTTGGCACAAAATCACATACATTATTACTAGGTTAGCACCACTGAAATGGTGTGTATCCTGGATTTTGAATGGTAATTTTTATTAAGAGGAATATTTCATACTGAGTCTATTAGCTTAAATACTAAAATCTTTTATGTATTACATGTGATATAATATTTTTATTAAATGTAGAAATCTGCGTGTAATCAATATGATATAGTTGGATTCATTAAAATGTCTAAGTAACAGGCATAATAGAAATCTAAAAGGAGACTGAAGAGGAATTGGAAAGACAGTAGGACAATAAAAGAAAGGAATAGATAAGAAAGGAATAAGGAGAATTTCAAAGGAGAAATGAAGATTCAGTGATGTTCAAAAGAGACTTGCTAAAGCTTTGTATTTTTTAATTGATTGCTTCTTATGGTTTGAACCCACATTGATACATTATATACTTTAGAATGTAAACTTGGGTTTTCATCACTGTTTTGGATATTCTTTGCCTGGAAGGATGGTATAGAGAAAATAGCTACCAATAAGAAGAAATGTTAAAACTTTAAACATATGTATGTGGCAGTGAGGTTTGGTGAATTGAAGTAGATAATTGGAAATAATGGTTTAACTAAGAAGCAGGTAAATCATCTGAAAATATTTAGTAATAATTGAGCAAAACATGTTTAATCTCCAAACAGCATTTATTTATCATAGATCTAACGTTTGTAGTTTTTCATAACAATTAAAGCTATGGGATTTTTTAAGTTAAAAAATGAATAGATTTTTTTAGAAATGAGAACTAAATTGTTCATATGATAAAATAGTATCCTCACAAATAATAAATTGAATTTAATAATATTCTCCACAAAATGTACTTATTGTTTACCCAGTTATAGAAATTAAAAATATATGAAAATACACATGTAAAAGGAAATTTTATGTCATTAAAATTCCCACTTTTTGCCTCAAGCATCTGAAAGTATGTATCATGGTAGAAGAAATGATGATTTAATCTATCTTGTTTGGAGAAAAAGATCACATACTTTGTTTCTCTGCCTTCTTAGGAAACGTTGGTGATTTTGTGAGGCTCCCAGGAATTCTTCAGATACCAATTCCCAATAGAGTTTGCCATCTCTTCTATTGGGGATTTAAAATTTTTCAGTCATTCAGTGCTTGGGAAGATGCATCTTTAAACAAGAGATAGAGATTTACAGTAAAACGATAAGAATTATAGGTTGGCACAGACATAGGAAAGAACTATGACTACCTTACTTGGTTGCTTTAATATACAGGTGGAAATATAAGTCAATGAGGTGAAATGGCTAGTCAGTGTACTTACAGCAATACAGTAACAGAATCAGAGCTCTGAGTCAAAGTACACTCAGACAAAATGTCTTCCTATAATCCTCTGTATATGCTTAGCAGCATATATTGAAAATATTTTCATTTCATTTCATTTCATCATCCTGTTATTCGTCGATTGCCTCGAGCAGGCCCCAGTATCGTCTCTTTCATCCTAGCCCTGAGATTATATTCAAGGCTCTTTAGGAGAATGAGACCCATCATTGTTACTGGTATTTGGCATATTTGGTAGACCACGGGGAGTTTGCCAGACTCTGCCCTGTGGACAGGCTACATTCAATAGCCTGCAAGTTTGTCCAAAGTTTTTTTTTATGACATCTTACTGTCTCATTCCTACTTTGGAAAATATAGAATTAGTCATATTTTTATTGGATCATTTAAACTTAGTTGAAAGAGTTTAAAGTACTTACAAAGTTTATCTCTGAGTTATTTAAACAATTCTCAAAAAATTAGAAATTGAGCTCCCATTTGACCCAGCAATACCACTCCTGAGAATATATCCCAGAGAGGCAAAAAAGTATAGTTGAAGTGACAACTGCACTTGTTTGTTCATTGCAGCACTGTGTACAATAGCCAGAATCTGGAAAAAACCTGAGTGCCCGAGAACAGTTGACTGGTCAAAGAAACTTTGGTACATTTACACAATGGAGTACTATGTAGCTGTTAGAAAAGATGAAGTCATGAAATTTACATACAAGTGGTACTACATGGACAGTATCATGTTAAGTGAAATGAGTCAGAAAGAGAGGGACAGACATAAAAAGACTGCATTCATCTGGGGAACATAAATTAACAAAATAGGAGACTAACACCCAAGAGTGGCCGAGATTAGTACCAGGAATTTTGCTCCATGTCTTGGAGGCCAGCCACACATGCTAGGGGAAAAGGCAGCTCAGATAGAGAAGGGAACACCAAATAAAGGGTGTTGGGAGGATCCTCCCAAAATGGGAGAAGCAAGCTGAAAGTAGATTATAGACCAAACATGATTGCCACTCAATGCCTCTTTTGCAAACCACAACACCCCAAAGGAGAGAGAGAACAAAGGGGAATGCCCTGCCACAGAGGCAGGGTGGGATGGGAGGGATAGGGGGTGGGAGGGATACTGGAACCCGTGGTGGTGGAAAGTGGGCACTGGTGGAGAGATGGGTTCTTGATCATTGTATAACTGAAACCCAAGCACAAAAATTTGTAAGTTTGGTACAACTGTACCTCATGGTGTTTCACTAATAAAAATTTTAAAAAAAGGATTTACTATTGAACAATATCTCCAACCTCAGAGATACATAGTTTTACTCATACACAAATAGGAAATCAGGGAATGACCAAAACTATAGTTTGTACTTTGAATCTTACATGGGTGTATACAGTAAATTAAAACTGTTTCTATTTCACCTATCGATTAATGCACATTCTACAAACATGTCTTACTGCAGAATACTAAGGAATAAAAAGAGATTGAAAGAAAAAAATAAAATAAAATTGGTCTGGATTAGTAAAGGAGCAGGTAGAAATTAAAAATATTGGTCTTATTCTTAAAAGAATATTTATCTTTCCATTGATTATTGATCTTTTTAATTCACTTTTCTAATAATTTATTTTCCTTTTTCTTTAAACGATCTAAGTCATCATTTCCTCTGTATGAGTCTACTAACACAAGGCTAGGATATCAAAAAGAATGAAAAAGCCTCATGCTAGACTTTTACTGGTGTCTTCACATGAGTAGGAAAGAGATGCTGAGTAGAAATGACTCCAGAATCCTGGAGGCTGAGGACTGAGATTCCCTCCCTTTGGCTTATAATAGAGTTTGGTTCTTAATTAGTACAGAAGTAGTTCAAGCCAGATATTGGTTTTGTATAATAGGAAATAAAGTTTAAAATTAGTTGGATGATAAAGTCGGGAATGTATAAATTTTTGTAAAATAGCTCCACATTTAGGA